TTATTGATGTGTTGTTGTTGTTAGGCTTTGGTTTGGCTTGGTATTGCAACAGATAGGATTGGTTGAGCTCTATATTTTCAACATATAGGATTTGCTTTGGCTTGGTATTTCAACAGATAAGAATTTCAAATAGATGGCATTTTACACAGATAGATTTTGAATTGTTATAATCAGAATTTTAACAGATAGAATTTTGAAAGATAGGATTTTAGAAAAAAAAATAAACAGATAATAAAATTAGGATAGGTAGATTTAAACAGATAAATGAAAAAATTGAATAAATATGAAAATTTGGACAAATATTTAAAAATATAAGGCAACAAAATTGAACAGATAGCCAAAAAAATTGAACAGATAGATATAAAATATTAACATCTAAAAAATAATTTGAACAGATAAATATAAATTTGAATAGATAGAAAATATTTTGAACGGATAGATATAAATTTGAATAGATGGTAAAAAAAATAAACAGGTAAAAATGACAAATAATTTTTAGGATAAAATTGGAAATAAAATGTCCTTTAATATCAACAAAAAAGGGATCCTCTATTTACACACCAACATTTCTTTCATCTCACACAATTTCTTAATTCGCATAACAAAAAAAAAAAAAATCTTTCAATTCATACTACCGAATTCCTAAAATATCCTGATCTTCATTATTTTTTTACTAACCTTAATCATAAATTGTCACCACCTCGTCTATTGCTAGTGTCGAAGCCATGACCCTAGCCATCGCCTGCTATCTTTTCCTCCAATGGCCCTATTCCTAGTTACTATCCCCCTTGCGCTGCCGCCTCTTCCTCCACAGTCTTTCGCTGCAGTCCTTTTTTTGATTGTTGCTCCCTTCTATAACTGCTTCCCTACCGCAACCCTCTCTCTTGTTGCCACTTCTAGCCTTCTCTTCATTTCTTTGGTAACACGATATAAATCGCAAAGATGGTAGGTCACGATGATGTAGGTTTATAATGATGGTGGTTGTGAAGGCGATGGTGGTGGGAAAACGGGATTAGGGGTTGTCACGACCCAAACCCGCCCCTATATGTTTAGCACCGTAACCGGCCAGTAATTCGTGAATTACCAAAGGCCTTTGAACAGATTAGCAAATAATAAGGGGCTGCGAAAGCAATAATACAAAATAGACAAGGTCCAATGAGCTGTGATAACGTACATTGGACAGAACTTTTCAAAATTTATTTATATATATACATAAACATGCCAGTCCAGATACACAATATTTACATAATGTACATCCCAAGACCTGATTGTACAAAGCATACACAAGACTAGCATGAATACAAAAAAAAAAAAACAGCCATGGCATAAGGCTTCGTTCGGAACCTCCTCGGGAGGCACAATTGTTGGCTGACAAAAACAGAATAGAAGGCCATCAACTCTGGCCCTGGTCACATGCCGGCTCACCTACATATAATATAAACTATGAGCGAAGCCCAGTGAATAATAATAGAGTAAAGGGTTTTCAATAAATGAGTTCGTACAGATTCAGAAAATCATAATTTAGATTTGTATCAAATTCATCATTTGTCCAGATCATATACAGACAGAAATTATAAGTCATGATTAAGTTTACGTGATACATTTATTAACATTAACAGAACAGAACAGAACAGAACGTATACACGTGAGGTTACGAATAATCGGTCCGGATCCGGGTAACAGAACAAAACAGAAGTTGAGCCCCCGTGACAGGGCCTCCGGTACGGGTAACAGAGTGTAGACAGAAATAAGTTCCATAAAGGAACCTCCGATACCGGGTAACAACTAACAGATATCACATGATGCTAAGGATGTCACGAATACATATCAGAAATTGAACAATCATTCATTGTACAGAACATATCATTTCGAAAAACAGATCTTGTTTTATCACACAGAAAGTAGATACCGTTTGAACATAACTTTACTAAATTATTACTCACAGTTGACCTTGAAACAGACAGACGGAGCAGATTGATTCCACGATACGCGACACGTAACCTACATAACACATAACGGACACACACTTGAATCCTACATAACACATAACCTACATAACCATCGACAGTGTGTTTCTAACCTTAAATCCTCACTAAAGAGTCTTAAACATGGCTTAGGAATGCCTAGGATGGAATGAGGATGCAAAGATGCCTTGGAAAATATTTTTCAAAACTTGCTGAAAACGAGGGTCTTGCTCGAGCGGGACTTTCTTCGCTCGAGCGAGCTTGTCAAAACAGAAGGGTTGCTCGAGCGTAGACTCCTTCACTCGAGCGGTCTATAAAAATGCAAAAGTACTACTTGTTGAAATTTTACGCTCGATGCCCGCTCGATGCTTGCTCAAGCGTGAGACACAGCCCTCCGCTCAAGCATAGGTCTCATCGCTCGAGCGTGCGTCTGCGTGCACCAAAAACTTGAGAGCTTGTAATTTACGCTCGAGCCACCATTCCTTCGCTCAAGTGGAGCTCTGAACAAATGATGGTCGCTCGAGCGTGGAATCCTTCGCTCAAGCGAGGAAGCCAAATTTTGGAATTTCCAGATTTGCCTCCCAAGCTCAAATCAAGCATTCAACACCTCAAAACTCGACCTCTTGGGCCCATTTTCTAGAAAACACTTGTAAACTCATAGTATAAGATGTTTCAAAGATCAATTTGTAAAATCTAAGCCTAAGGGCGAGTCAATTGAACATAATTTCAAATAAAACTTCAAGAACAAAACAAGAGCTTAACATGCAAGTGTTCATTTTAAATCCAATGCTCTAAAACATGACCAAATGTAAGATTGAGCTCAAAATCATGATGAATTCATGGACTAAGGCTAGAATATGGGCTTGCATGCAAGAACTACCATAAATACACTTCAAAATGCTAAGATATGAACATGCATACATGATTTATGCCTCAATTCAACATTTTCAATCAATTCATGACTTAGATCACTAATGTCTCATGAACCAAGCAAGAATTAACCTTAAATTCACAATTGAAAGGGAAATCTCCTACCTTAAACCTTGAATTCCAAGCCTAGAAGCTCAAATATGCAAACTACTCCTTAATTCTCCTAAGCTCCAAGCCAATCCTCTAGATGAATTTAATTTTCTCCTAATTCTCTCTCTCTACTCGGTTTTGGCCAAGAAAAATGGCTGAGGAAATATGCTATTAAGTGTAATAAGGTGTGGTAAGGTTGGTCTCAAGTCAAGCCACTAAGTGGCATAATGGTAGATAAGTCCAACTAATGTAATTTAGCTTATTTAATTCAATTTAATCATACCAAATCATAAAATCACATTAATTCTAATTAACACAAAACGCTAATCAGTTTCGGATTCGACCGCCGATAAGGCCTTCAATTTGCAGTTTAAAACATAAAATATGAACAGATCATTTTATGGCAAACAGATAAAAACACAAAGATAATGCAAGACATATGCAATTGAATTCCGGAGTCCTTCTAAATTACTGTTAGGCATAAATAATCATGGTTAGCATTAATCGGAGGTTGGGGTTATTACAGGGGTCCACGAGATGGACTAAGGGGTTGTAATGGTGGCCGGAGAGGGAAGTCATTGTCGTGGTGGTGCGAAGACAACAAGCGGATGTGAAAAGCTAATGGCGTCAACATTCTCAGCTATTGGAGCCTCCATAGTCAACCCTCTTTCATCTTTGGGTAAATTACACTGATACTTCTAGAGGTTTGGTCCAATTACATACTGCCCGTTGACATTCTAGAAATTACATTTTCACCCTTGTGGTTAATAGTCTCATTTCACAAACTCCCCTACTTATATAAAAGGCAACAACTCCCAGTAGAAATAGAAAAAATTACATTGAAAATAAAAAGTAAAGCAAAGGAAAAAAAAAATAGAAGAAGTAAAGCAAAGAAAGAAAAGAGAGAATGCATGAGTTCAATATTTTCATTCTGTTTAAATAATTACAATGATAGGGAGTCAGTGTAATTTTCTAAACGTTAGGGGTGATATGTATTAAACCAAATCTTAGAGGGTGTAAGTGTAATTTACCCATCATCTTTTCTTCTTTTTCTTTAGGCGAATTTAGATCTTTCTGTTTGCTGGTGATGGTAGTGCCCAGCAGTGGAGATCGAGAGGGATGGATGACGTGCTGCGAGGGTGGAGAGAGTTTTCGGGTCTCGTTCACTGCTGCTGCTGTTGTCATCACCTAGAGTAACTGCAGAAAATTGTTGCAAGAGGTTTGAGTTGGTGTCGACTGTCCTCCTTGGTAATTTGTTAAGAGGCAAATTAATAATTAAGGATGTGTTTGGTAGCTTCTCCAAATATATTTCTACTCATTGTTTTGAGTGTCCTGTTTGTTTAGAGTTTTAAAAAATTAATTCCACATCCACTTTTGAAAACTTTTTCCAAGGCAGGAAAATTTGGGCTAACCAGTCGTCCTCCCAGACGTCCGGCCAGTTGACTGGAACAATATTTTTTATTTTTATTTATTTTTTTAGCAATTGGCAATTGGCACTTGTTATTTTTTATATTTTAAATAAAAAAATCGAAAATTTTTAAATTTTTTTTTATGAGTTTTGAATATAATTTTGAGTTGTGTTTGTGGTTATAAGTTGTAAGTTTTTATATTAAATATCATATGTCACATCAAAAATTCTAATCTCAATTCAAAACTCTTTTTAAAACTTTTTTCAAAACTCCTAACCAAACAAATTTTTCACACTTAAATTATAATTCTAAAATTCACAAACTCAAAGTATAGCTCTACTCTTAAATCATAATTCTAAAACTCTTCAAAAAACTACCTAAATTTTTTTTAAAAAAATGGGATGGGACGAGAGAAATGATGATATGTAAATAGAAACTTCCAACAAAAAAAAATTCTCATCAAATTATTTTACAAAAGGTCTCACTAACAAAAATATATATATATATATATATTAATCTAATACCTTTTTAATAATTTTCTCTAAAAATAACATTATTGCAACATTTTTATGAATTTATTTTACATCAATAATTGTATTTAAAAAAAATTACAATAATAAATTATCCAATTTTCCATCGTTCCCAGTTCTCAAGAGTCACCGGCAAATCGCCCGGGCACTCAACTGAACTTACTTTAAAAAATGGTGACTCTCTCGACTCTCGCAGCATCGATCGGTCTCAAATCCGTGGGAATTTCGAAACCGTACTTTTCTCAACTCTTCAATTCGAATTCAATTCCATGGACTCTCAATTCTCCTCAATGGCAATATGAGAGTCTCAGAACACTCCTTTTAGATCGCTTTTCCGATTGCGTAAAGCTTCACAGACACTCCGATTCCGATTCCGGTAATATAACTATACACCCGTGTATACATATACATACATATGTCTGCTGGGGTTTGATTCCATGGTGATAGAGGGTGTTTGATGTATCTTGAATGTGTTTAGGTATTATGTTATTTGTTGTTGGTGATTTTTTATGTTGATGTTGTGATTGAATTTCGTTTAAAACGATTTATTGTTGAATTTTCTTTTATAAAGGTTTAATTTTTATAGATGGTAGTGACATTTTTTTGAGGCTTTTGTTTGGAAATGAGAAAAACTGCCACATTTTTGTAGGAAAATTATGTTACTCTTCTTCTTCTTCGCTGATCTCTCTCTCTCTCTCTCTAGGTTTTCAAACACTCTCTATATTTGGCTTTACTACTCCACGCAGTTGATGGTGATATTATTATTATGATTTGTATGTTAGTTGTTATGAACATTATTAATGTGGTTATTAAATTTATCTATGGTTGGTATTATATTAATATGGTTAATATGGATGCTTATTATAATGTGTATGATCCTATTGTCATAAATAATAAAAAATAAATATAAATATTTTTGGCGTTAACAAATATGTTTTTAAGTTTATGTTTTTAAAAATTTTCAAACATTTTGTCCAAACCAAACATGTTTGTAGTTTATATTTTTTTAAAAATAAACAAAAATCAATTTATAAAATTTTTGTAAACATAAACAAAAAACGTAAATGTTACCAAACGCTACCTTAGTAATGTATTTATTTGTTTATATTTTTTCATTCCTTAACTTTGTACCCCTAGGCAATGTTTTCAAGGGGAGAGGAGGGAAATTTTTTGCCTCCACTTCCATTTCTTGTTCTTGTTCCTCAATTTACATTGGATATCATCTATTTGTTATTCTAGGAAGATCTATGTTACACGGACTTGTATGCGTTTATCGGGTAAGGGAGCCTTTGGGTTCATCAAGCTTCTAATTGAAGGATATGTGGACTTGGCAAAAAAGGATTGTACTTTTTATATTTTTAATCCTCTTTTGGATAAAAAAGCACCTTACTTGTTTTATAGTAATTATGCAACAAAAAATACAAATAATTATAACGTTAAATACAATTATATAAACAAGTTAAATTGATGGATGTTCTTGCTAAGCGCATATTTGATAGAAAGTATGAGTATAGTGATTCCGGTTTTTCCGTCATTGTTTAATTGTATTCCGGGCTCGGGTCCGTGGATGTTGGTTGTTGTCTTATACTCGTTCCCATCCTTTACTCTTGTATTTGAGTCTTGGGTTGTGTTGGGCAGGTTTGAAATAGGTTGATTGTATTTGGAAACCAAGGGTTTATGCCCAGATTTTGGCCTTCACGCTCGAGCGGGGCTTTTGACGCTCGAGCGGGCCCTTTGCTTTTGTTCCTCTGCTCGAGCGGGCATTTTGACGCTCAAGCGTGATTATTTAACCCTCAGTATTTTTCCCTGCAGGTCGTCGGACGCTCGAGCGACCACTTTCACGCTCGAGCGGGGACTTTCGTCTGCAGAACTTCTGGAAGTGTGCATTCGACGCTCGAGTGTCGCTTTTCATGCTCGAGCGGGAGTCTGTGTCTGACGCTCGAGCAGGGCGTTCCACGCTCGAGCGGGGCATTCCACGCTCGAGCGGACTGTGTATTATATCAATCCGAATTTTAGCATTTTTAGTCACTTTTTCGACTCTCTCTCTCTCTCTCTCTAGCTTTTCAAAACCCAAACTTGAGAGCTTCTCACTTTAGACTACATCGTCTCTCTAAGAAATCATCTAGTGTTAGTGATCTTCTACCCTAGTCCCTTTGTAAAAAGTGTGGAGCTTAGTATGGGCTACATTTTGATCCGAAAATCTTTGAGTTTGGAGCACCTTCGAATTTCTTCATCTTCTCCTTTGAGCTCCGAAATTTGAGGTAGGGATAACTACTCATATTTATGGTCTTTGACATAAACTTGTAGTCATTTTGATTAAATGTTGAAGTTGGGAAATTTTGGGTGTTAGGGTTTCAAAATGTATAAAGAGGGGTTTTGTTCTTTTAATCCAAACTTGTGTATTTTGGGTCTTAAAATGGGGTTATTGATGTTATTGATGATATTTGGACTTTTGGGTCAATATTGAGAAAAGGGGGAGAAAAGTCCTAATTATTTGTTATGAATTAATTGGTATAATTAATTTGTGAAAGTTATGAAAATATGAAATTGAGTTGGAAATAATGAAATTGGGTAATTACGAGATTTAATGGTGGAGTTGGATTTATTAATCACTCACCTTTGAAATTGTAGATAATTTATCTGTTGGATAAATCATTATCTGTTTAGAAAAAAATGTTTTGGGTTATCAGTGGAGGATAATCTTGATTGTTGTAGACACTGCATGATGATTAGGTGAATTGAAACTAATCATATGAGTATGTCATTGGATATGACGGATGGGATAACACATTGAATATGTGTTTTGCTTGATCATTGTATATGATAAGTGTTTAAATACATCGTATATGTATGTTGTTTGGGAGAAGATAGGGGATGTACTCCACGGTTTGGGAGGAGATAGGGGATGGACTCCAGTGATAACTAAGTTGGCCGGAGTGTCCAGGGTGAAAGTCTCGAAATCCTAATTTCGTTTGCATAACGTAGAGGAATTGAAGTATTGTTAATATGAGTTGTAGTCTCATTTGAAAATTGAATTGTTGAAGTATTGTTAATATGAGTTTTTGGCTCATCAAACCCAATTATTCTTAAAATTTTATATGAAAAAATTATTTCTAAACAACTTCTAATGTTAACAAGTACTTGAGTAATTATTTAATATTACAATTTTTGTAAAAGAAAATTTGAAAATAAAAAAAAAATAATTTAATAAAAAGTAATTTTCCATTCTTCATTTCTTTCCATTAATTTATAATTTGTATCCAAATTTATTTTCTAGTTGTAGTTTGAATGACTTCGTACGGTCTCAAAAGCTCTTCAACATTTACGTAAATGGATATTATTAATAAATGATAAATTTCAAAAATAATTTTAATACGCAATTCAGATACAATTTTCACTCTCAATTAAAAAGGGGAAAAAAAAAAAAGCTTTGGCAAATAGATTAAGGTATTCAATACTCTTTTATCAAATATTTTTTTTGTAAATACTCACAAAATTAGACATCAAACATAATTAAATCAAGTTCACAAATGTTGCATCAATAAGCAAGTCAATTTCAAAATAATACAAAATTAATCATAATCTTGTCCGTTGTGAGTAATTTCTTCCGCATTTTGATAAAGAGCATTGCCATTAACCCCTACCTTTCTTCTTAGAACCCTCACCAGATGTCTCTATTTACGCACCATATTTTATCTCAAGGCAAACCATTACTTAAGGCACACCCTTAATATTTTGATAAATAAATGTTTTACTTAATCCACACCATAAACTTTCATATTTACCCTTACTCACACACCCCACCCACAATCTGCGTCCTTGTTTACCTTCACTCACCCACACACCCCATCCACCCACGCACCCATGATATATCCATCACCCCCTCCATTCTCTGTTTCCATCTCCCCCAGATCCAACATTGCTGCATTCTATGGATGCACATGTCTGGAAAAAGCCCAAAAAATAAAAAAAATGTTATAAGCTTTCGGCAGTACAGAGTCGAATTAAATGGAATTGTTCGACTGTTTATAACCGAACAAATGGTTTTTGTTCGATACTTAAAAACCAAAGAATTGGATTATGTTCGACACTATGAAACCAAACATATACAATTTGTTTGGTTTTAGGTAGTCAAACATTGATATATTATTTGACTTTGGATAACCGAACCAATACAAACATTTACCCCTCAACAAGTAAACGAAAAAAAAAAAAAAAAAAAAAAGAAAGAAAAAATAACCTTTCCTTGCTCCATTGTTCCGAATTAGTATTGCCAGATGAATCCTTCATTGAATCCAATCAAAATGTTTAATAATACGTATATTTCTGGTTGTTTCTTTAAGGGTTTTTGGTTTTTGTTTTAGGGTTTTTGGATCCTTGAGAGACAAGATATGTAAGTAATACCTATGTGATTGTTGATGAGTATTATATTCATTATTGTCCTTTATGGTAGTCAAACAAATGGTGTGTATCATGCTTGTCCTTTGTGGTCATTTACCTAAGGTTAAAATTGTAATAAAAAATAAACTAATTAATGGTTTGCCTTGAGAGGAAAAGTGGTGTGTAAATAGAGCCTCCTGTGGACCTGTGGTTATGGAAGAAGCAAAATGACAAAATTAACCGTCTCTTGTTTGAAATTGTAGTTCACATAAAACCAATATTAAAGCTATATACTTAGAGGAGTTAGGGCTTGAATGAAAAATTGGCGCTTGATTTGAACTCATTTTTTTTGAAAATCAACCATGAGAAGGTGTTGGTGTATGGGATGGTAATTGGTGGCGAGTGTAGACAAGTCTGGTAATGGTGGTGGGTTTGGTAGAGAGAAAAAAGTGAGAAGTGGTGGGGGTGGGGTGGGTGTAGTGTTGAGTGGTGATGACCATCTTGTGATGGGTTTTGCTATGTAGATATGTTCATACAATGATGTCTTGCAAAATTACTGGAATCTTAATTCAACAAAGCTTTATCCTAACAATGCGGCTAACTTAAAATCCTGTTTTCGAACTCCAGGCCATCTATGGACATTTTTTGGGCTAAATTATGGGTTCAATATGTTTATTTCACTGCCATAACCTATACCTTTTTGTTCATTTTCCCTCTTCCTTGCAGCACCTTTATGGAAATTAATGGACATATTTTAATTCAGCATTCGTTCTCTTCCTTGCAAATTTATTTGCCTGAGTTCCCTTGAGACACTGCCATCTTATCATGCTAAGTACTTGATTTCCTCGAAGCCATCATCTTCTCTTTGATTTTTCTTTTCAACTACTACCTCAATTTAGGTTTATTTACAGGAATTATTGAGGTTAAATTGGATAGGCCTGGAGCAAAAAATTCCATTGGGAAGGACATGCTGAGAGGATTGCAGCACAGCTTTGAAGCTATAAATAGGGATTCTAGTGCAAATATTTTAATGATCAGTAGTTCAGTTCCCAGAGTGTTCTGCGCAGGTGCTGATTTGAAGGTAGTATGTGATCTCTGATTTTTTAATTAAGTTAGCAGACATGATTATAGTTACAGACTTACAGGTAATATTTACTTATTGAATAGAATGAAGGATATACAATATGCACTATAATAAAGGACTTGTTTGGATGTGATGTGTCAAAGAGTTGTACAATTCTAAAAAATATAAAATAATAGTGTTTGTCTGGTTCTAAAGATAAAATAAAATAATAGGACATGTATGGACGTAATGTGTCAAAGAGTGTTTGACAAGTGTCAGTGTCTTTAACATGGACACGGCACTTTCATAGAAGTATATGTGCTTCTTGGACTGAAAAAAAAGAAGAAGATTCCATCTATCAACTAATAAGAAGCATAATCCTCGGTCCCTCAGTATTCCATCCTTTCATGACATGGTATAAGTTTTCTGATTCCACCGAAATTCTATCCTTCATGATATAGCATCAGTTTCCTTTTAGACATGTTCTATTTGTAAAACTAAAGTCGAACCTCTAGTTCATGATCAAACCAAGATTGTTCGGACAGCTACTGCTAAATGTGACTAATTTCACCATTTTTGGTTCGTTTGGCCGGAAACAATCTAGCAAACTTGACTTGTTTTGCCATTTCAGCCTTGGTTGGCCAAACAAAGCTTGAACGCAAAAAAAAAAAGAAAAGGAAAATGAAAAAGAATAAGGTCGTCCCACTATTGTCGTCCTTAGTAGTGGTGGTGAAAGAAATAGAAGTGAGAAGGGGGGGAAGGGGAGAGAAAAAAAGGAGAGAGGAAGATGTGGGTGTAAGAGATGGTGGGAGGTTAGGAATGGGGATATGTTTGGAATTATAAGGGGTGTAAAGAGTTGAAATGAAAATTTTAAAATTTTGAAGTGAGTGTGATAAGAAAATGGGTTTAAGGAGTTAAATTTGTTGCTAAGTGGAAGCTCCCTTAAAAAGTTTATCCTATATTGTTCCTCCCCTTAGTCATACACCATTTGTTAGGTGTTTGTCACCTACTTAGGAATGGATGGGCATGTGATATCAAGTAGTTGGTAGTTCTAAGTGTTTTTCCTTCACATTTGACTTCCACTTTCGCCCCTCCGTTGATTAAACCATTTCGTTTTCAATTTTCAATTTATATTTACAAAAATTTTAAAAACTATCATAAAAACTTGTTTGGTAAATTTTTTGGTTTATAAACCAGTGGTCTCAGTTTGTAAATTTGATAAAAAAATTGTAAACTCAAAAACTGAGTTTACGTTGGTTTTTAAAAACACCACAAATGCGGGGCCACAGTAATTTGGGGTGTGCATAACACAAACCATGGTTCGAATCTGCATAGGAGCAAGCAATGTTTTGAAAATCGGACCGGTGAGCAAACCGGAAAAGGGACCGGGTGGACGGGTCACCAATTCAACCGTCGGGTCAAAGCGGTCAAACCGTGATGTCATAATTAATATTATATAATTATAAATTGTAAATAAATAAAAATATATATAAATACTCAAATAAAAATAAAAATTGTTGCATAGTATTTATTAATAATATTTAATAAAGTCATAATTGATAAGAAAAAGTCACTTGTTTTAAAGAAATTAAATTTTTTTAACATTCCCTCCAAACAAATTGATTGAATGCTAGATTTAATTTTGGAGGGAAATGAAATTTCAACTCTCCCTCCAATCAATATGATTTAAATAATTTGATTGAATCCCACATAGAATTTTGTAGGTTCTTTTTGAAAAATCTTTTCTTATAAATATCAATAGACTTTCATAATCTCACTAAGCTTCCAATGAGACTGCTCTCATGAGGAGACTCTAGAAGTAAGAGTTTTTAGTTAAAATTTTGAAAAATATATATATATATATATAAAAATATAAGAAAGAAAGAAAGAATGAATGAAAAGAGATCTGTTGATTGAGATTGCAAGATCAGTGTTTGGATTGCAAACTAAGATCGATTTCAGTCTTTCTTCTTGTTTGGCTCTTCGGCGGCGGCGGCGAAGAACAACAGAGGAAGTCTTGCCGCCCTTTTCTTCTTCTTCGCTGATCTCTCTCTCTCTCTCTCTCTCTCTCTCTAGGTTTTCAAACACTCTATATTTGGCTTTACTACTCCACGTGGTTGATGGTGATATTATTATTATGGTTTGTATGTTAGCTGTTATGAACATTATTAATGTGGTTATTAAATTTATCTATGGTTGGTATTATATTAATATGGTTAATATGGATGCTTATTATAATGTGTATGATCCTATTGTCATAAATAATAAAAAATAAATATAAATATTTTTGGCGTTAACAAATATGTTTTTAAGTTTATGTTTTTAAAAATTTTCAAACATTTTGTCCAAACCAAACATGTTTGTAGTTTATATTTTTTTAAAAATAAACAAAAATCAATTTATAAAATTTTTGTAAACATAAACAAAAAACGTAAATGTTACCAAACGCTACCTTAGTAATGTATTTATTTGTTTATATTTTTTCATTCCTTAACTTTGTACCCCTAGGCAATGTTTTCAAGGGGAGAGGAGGGAAATTTTTGCCTCCACTTCCATTTCTTGTTCTTGTTCCTCAATTTACATTGGATATCATCTATTTGTTATTCTAGGAAGATCTATGTTACATGGACTTGTATGCGTTTATCGGGTAAGGGAGCCGTTGGGTTCATCAAGCTTCTAATTGAAGGATATGTGGACTTGGCAAAAAAGGATTGTACTTTTTATATTTTTAATCCTCTTTTGGATAAAAAAGCACCTTACTTGTTTTATAGTAATTATGCAACAAAAAATACAAATAATTATAACGTTAAATACAATTATATAAACAAGCTAAATTGATGGATGTTCTTGCTAAGCGCATATTTGATAGAAAGTATGAGTATAGCGATTCCGGTTTTTCCTTCATTGTTTAATTTTATTTCGGGCTCGGGTCCGTGGATGTTGGTTGTTGTCTTATACTCGTTCCCATCCTTTACTCTTGTATTTGAGTCTTGGGTTGTGTTGGGCAGGTTTGAAATGGGTTGATTGTATTTGGAAACCAAGGGTTGATGCCCAGATTTTGGCCTTCACGCTCGAGCGGGGCTTTTGACGCTCGAGCGGGCCCTTTGCTTTTGTTCCTCTGCTCGAGCGGGCATTTTGACGCTCAAGCGTGATTATTTAACCCTCAGTATTTTTCCCTGCAGGTCGTCGGACGCTCGAGCGACCACTTTCACGCTCGAGTGGGGACTTTCGTCTGCAGAACTTCTGGAAGTGTGCATTCGACGCTCGAGCGTCGCTTTTCATGCTCAAGCGGGAGTCTGTGTCTGACGCTCTAGCAGGGCGTTCCACGCTCGAGCGGGGCATTCCACGCTCGAGCGGACTGTGTATTATATCAATCCGAATTTTAGCATTAGTCACTTTTTCGACTCTCTCTCTCTCTCTAGCTTTTCAAAACCCAAACTTGAGAGCTTCTCACTTTAGACTACATCTTCTCTCTAAGAAATCATCTAGTGTTAGTGATCTTCTACCCTAGTCCCTTTGTAAAAAGTGTGGAGCTTAGTATGGGCTACATTTTGATCCAAAAATCTTTGGGTTTGGAGCACCTTCGAATTTCTTCATCTTCTCCTTTGAGCTCCGAAATTTGAGATAGGGATAACTACTCATATTTATGGTCTTTGACATAAACTTGTAGTCATTTTGATTAAATGTTGAAGTTGGGAAATTTTGAGTGTTAGGGTTTCAAAATGTATAAAGAGGGGTTTTGTTCTTTTAATCCATACTTGTGTATTTTGGGTCTTAAAATGGGATTATTGATGTTATTGATGATATTTGGACTTTTGGGTCAATATTGAGAAAAGGGGGAGAAAAGCCCTAATTATTTGTTATGAATTAATTGGTATAATTAATTTGTGAAAGTTATGAAAATATGAAATTGAGTTGGAAATAATGAAATTGGGTAATTACGAGATTTAATGGTGGAGTTGGATTTATTAATCACTCACCTTTGAAATTGTGGATAATTTATCTGTTGGATAAATCATTATCTATTTAGAAAAAAATGTTTTGGGCTATCAGTGGAGGATAATATTGATTGTTGTAGACGCTGCATGATGATTTGGTGAATTGAAACTAATCATATGAGTATGTCATTGGATATGACGGATGGGATAACACATTGAATATGTGTTTTGCTTGATCATTGTATATGATAAGTGTTTAAATACATTGTATATGTATGTTGTTTGGGAGAAGATAAGGGATGTACTCCACGGTTTGGGAGGAGATAGGAGATGGACTCCAGTGATAACTAAGTTGGCCGGAGTGTCCAGGGTGAAAGTCTCGAAATCCTAATTGCGTTTGCATAATGTAGAGGAATTGAAGTATTGTTAATATGAGTTGTAGTCTCATTTGAAAATTGAATTGTTGAAGTATTGTTAATATGAGTTTTTGGCTCATTATGAACTGTTTGGTTGAATAAAGAACCATATCTATGAATTTGTTTGGATAATGAAATGGAAAGAGATGTGTGTTTGTTTATATGAGTTAAACATTTATCAAATACCGATGTTTTAGTTATTGCTCATATTATGTTTAGCATATCTCTACTGGGCGTTGGCTCACCCTATATGGGATATCATTTTCAGGTTCAGGTGTTATGCCACCTCCAAGGACGTAGCTTGGAAGGTCGACTCTTTTGTTTATTTTGGTATTTTTGGTGGTACATGTAAACTCAAGCCAAGGGCTTATTTGTGTAGAGAGTTAGAATTCTTCTTTTGTTGTAACCAAGTGTTGACTTGGAAAGTTGTAAGCCTACAGGGCATTTACTTTTGTTGTCAATATGTATTACTTTTTGTAAGAATACTCTGATGAATGGAAATATGTTTTATTCTCTTGTCTATGTATATCATGAATGTTGGGTTTATATGTATTATTTTGAGGGCGTTACAATGAGACACATATCCTAAAACCTTATCCAGGTGTCAAGTGTCCAACATTGGTACTTGATTTATTTTGAAGAGTCCATGTAACCTATAGGAAGATGATAATTTTACTGATTTCTACGAAGGAAAGGAAGACTTTCAATTTCATTGCAAGAATATTGCAAAAATCATTAGTGTTCCATGAATATGACTCAAACATCACTGAGAAGAAATATTCATGCTTGTTTAATAAAAGTAGAGTTGCTTAAAACAGTTAAATGAAAGTGAAGGCCAATCTGGACATATATACCATATTGAGGCCATCCCTACAATTCAAGTAAGCTTCGCAGAAAGTAACGAATGTACTCGGAGTAACGAATGTACTCGGACTAACGAGTAGGTACTCGGGCAGCTACAAATTGGTATTCACCACACTGATCATGTAAACGTGTAAGGGCAGATGAGTGATTAACAACAGGTTGCATGTTGAATGGTCAGAAGGCCAATCTACTACATAGTAGACACAGGTCATGGAATAAGAATTCAAGAATACCCAATATCTTATTTTCTCTGGCTCGCATAAGAGATACGTTGTATTGAGCATTAAATTTTGGTGCTCTTTTTTTAAGCTTTTACCGTTCCTAAACCTTATGAATTTTCTACCAGCCCACCATCATACGATAACTTCTTGTTTTGTTTCTATAACCGGATTCTGTGATGTTGATTTTTCCTTTTAACTACTTCATTAAAAACATGGTATGCTTTCATGAATGGTGTTCTCCTAATATAATTTGCTAGGAAGCACTGATACCTCAAATAGGTTGAAGTATCCATATCTGGTACTTATCCCTCAATAAAATATTAATAAAATAACCTTGATTACCATGGGTAGGAAGGACTTGGTTAGCATTGTTACACAGAAGAATGCACGTGTGGAAGAGAAATACGAAGGGCGCGGAGAGAGAGAATTTATGAGTTTTGAAGGCAACTCATCTGCTACTGTCATGAGTGCTTTCGAACTGGTTTTTCTATGTGGCCAGGTGGTGCATATTTTGTGATTTTTGGAGTCATTTCAACATGACTTCAGCTAAAAGAAAGAAAGAAAAGTCTGGTTGTTTTATTGACCCACTTCTTTAACTGTTAAAATTAAATAATAATTTGAAATTGTAATTATCATAACTATATAATAAAAACATTAAATAATTTTTTGTTATTGACATATTCTTGTCATATCCATATGCTAGTTTTCTAAATATTGACGCATCACCATATCTGTGTCATATCATCCCCATTTCCCATATCTGTTATCTGTGCTTCCTAGATAATTTGGGAAATGTTCTGTTTGTCAATTTAACCCTCTGCAATTTGTCTACTAGTTTGATACAATAGTCTATGTTTGTTTGTTTATTTATTTTTAATGTTAGATACTGATGTTATGCTTTTAATATTTGATGTATTAATTGTAAAAATAATTCATGTGTTGATTGTATTTCTTGGGACCATAGTTGTTTAACAGCTGGTTTACTTCCATAACAGTGCTTTTGCTGTAAATTGGATTGGTAGGAACGGAAGACAATGAGTTCATCTGAGGTTCAGGCTTTCGTGAACTCTTTGCGCTCCACTTTCTCATACTTGGAGGTTTGTCCTCTTCATTCTTTTACATTTTTTTAAACAGATACTTATCTTCTAACCAGCTTGAAGGCACAAATAGAAGGAACCTCACTCATTTGTGAACTTGACATCACTCATTTATGAATTCTTCTATTATTATTATTCATAAATATGAGTTTTATGTATCCTTTTCTTATTAGAACTCTTAAACAAAATTGACAAATACTTCAGGCGCTTCATATCCCTACTATAGCTGTTATTGAAGGTGCAGCATTGGGTGGCGGATTGGAAATGGCTCTATCTTGTGATCTTCGGATTTGTGGTAATTCTGTATTTGATGCTTCAAAGTTTATTTGATTCTCTATGAATGTTTCAATTTTTCTTTTAATAAGCTTTTCAGAAGTTGATGGTTTCACTATAAATTACTCAGGAGAAGATGCTGTGTTGGGCTTGCCTGAAACGGGCCTTGCTATAATACCTGGGTATGTCTATAATCTCAATTAAAATTTTGTAATCTTTGTTATGTTGATTTTTTGATTGGGAACTACCTCAATCTTGCTGGTTAGGGATTATGCAATTCAGTTTTAACTTACCCTAGATCTTTTATATATTGACTTTTGGCATGCCTATAATTGATGGAGAATTGTAGCATCATACCAGCTCAATATTGCATGTTAGTAGGATGTTGCAGCTCATGTATTTATTTATTTATTTTGAACACTACTTATATCCAACCTTCTTTAGCATGAATAATAAGTTTCCAGCAAAGGATTCATGCTTGATCAGATGACCTTATTATGGAATTTTAACCTTCTGCAGGGCAGGTGGGACGCAACGGCTTCCTAGGTTGGTTGGAAGATCGGTGGCGAAAGAACTTATATTTTGTGGTCGGAAAGTTGGTGGCAGAGATGCAGTTTCAATGGGTATGTTTGTTTGGGAGCTGCTCCAATTTTAACTTTTTTTAGTCATCACTGAGCAACAAAGGTGCATTGATGCAGGCCTTGTCAATCACTGTGTTCCTGCTGGTGAAGCTCATTTAAAGGCACTTGAAATTGCTTGGAATATCAATCAGAAGGTACAAGTCTGTATGTCTCCAGAATCTTCTAGATACAACTGGGGTGCCATATGCGATGCATGTGAGCCTTACATCATACAGTTTTTCCCTTTAGGGTTATTTGCAGTTATGTTGATTCTTAAAATTTCCTGGTATCAGCAGTTTTCTTTTACCTCTCAGACTTTGCAAAGTGGCAGTATACATTGCATCCCTTGTAAGACCAAAACTGCTCCCATGTCAAAGTCAATATCAGACAAACCCTGTGTTGGCTTAGTAAGATGAGATTGGATGAGTATATCATGTCTCGAATAATGGTATGGGTTATAATGGTCTCAAAATAAAAAGATAAATACTGTATTTACTGGACCTTTTTGTGATTTTATTTGAATCCCTCACATAGGATGGTTTTTTTTGTCTTGTAAGGAGTGTCCTCACAATGTGCTATAATGATGATTCACAAGGTTGTTGCATTCTCTAGTGTGTATTGAAGTGGTTATTATTTATGTGTATTTGTGAAGAAGCATTGATTGGAATCTAAGAAGTACGGACATGGACATAGATGCGGACACGGGACATGACGATTTCAAAAAATTGGGGACACAGACACGGCAATAAAATATATTTGCATATATTTTTATTTGCCATCCAGATTAATATTACATCCACAAACAATCAATATTAACAAAAACTAATTCTAACTTATTTATTTGTTTATTTATTTATTTTTGTAAAAGCACTTTTAAATTAACACTTACAGTTTATATCATTTTTTAGGATGATCTATTAAGTATTTAAATCTAAGAAAAAAATAATAAATATTCAACTTTCAGCATTTATCAAAAGCAGTAAATAAAATGGGGGAAAAGACAATTTGGCATGTCCCTAATGTGTCCTCAAAGTGTTCCTTGAAAATAAATTAATTAAATAAGGGTACACGCCATGTAGTGTGTCCCATACGTGTCCGACACGGATACGACACTTGTTTTGAAGTGTCGGTGCTTCATAGATTGGAGTTCTTGTTCGTTCAAGAAGTCTTCCGTGTGATGCAGGAGTCTTTACTTACCAGAACCATCCATTCTGGGATTAAGATATGGATTCACAACATAAACCTTAACAAAAGTGCTAGTCATTTTTTTTAATGATAGTTGGAAGTTAGACTTGGACATCACATACATGTGTGGTTATACTTACGAAATCAGATTTTCTTTGTCAATCTGTGGTCCATTGCAAATATACAATAGTAGAATATGTCAAGTGTATATTTTATATATTGTATTATACATGATAATCGAAACTTTTTGATAAATTCTTCGAGAATTCTTAGGTGCCTTTTGGCAATATTTACAGTTAATTGTTTTAGTTTATAGAAAACACTAAACATGTTTATGTTTGTTTTGGATAAAAATAGAAACAAAAAATATATTTGGTACTCAAGAATTTTAAAATTTTGTTTTGAAAACAAGTGAAAGATGTGTTCGTTGATGGTTGGAGATGGTGGCCGAAGGTGGTTGCCGGCCGCGTAAGGTGGTGGCCGAAGGTGGTTGCCACTAGTGGGAGGTGGTTGGCAGTGTGGTGGTTGGAATGGGTGGGAGAAAGAGGAAGAAATGGGGGAGAAGAAAAGAAAAGTGAAACTAAACTTTTTCGTATTTACAATTTTTTTACAATTCTTTGGAAACGGAAACAGAAACCAAATGAGTTTCTGTTTACAGTTTTCAAAATTTTGTAAATATAAACAGAAAATTGTAAATATAGCATTACCAAAGAGGCCCTTAGTGTTCTCCTCAAAATTAGTAGTCTCTGAGCAATGGTCAGTTTTGGTTCAGGGCTTAGTCAAGTTTGACTAGGCTTTGTTTGAGGTTTGAGGCTCAATCACGCTTGAGTGTAAGTTCAATAGGTTTGACTAGAAATTTGATTATATGGGTTTCTGCCTCAGCTTTGATTTAGAAAGAGAGGGAATCGCCCAAGACATGAAAGGTTGTGATGCAGCACCGGTACAGGAGACGGAGAAAAGGAAAAGAACACAATACCAATCAATATATCAGTTAATCAATATTCATGTAAACTCTGCAAAACTCTTACATAAAAGTCATATGTATAGGTAAATCAAACTATTCTTATGAGGAAACAAATACAAACTAAGAAATAAAACCTAAACTTAAAAAAAAAAAAAAAAAAACAATGCACAATTAGTACACGTTAATGTGTGTTTGGGAGGGGAAAGATTGAGTACACACCTAACTTTTGGCATAATGCACAAAGTTTTAACTTCCTAAATAAATTAAACTCCTAAATAAATAAAATTCCAAATCTTCGATATTTTCTTATTCAATTTGTTTGCTTACCCCAACAGGTGGTTGGTCAATCAACCTTTATATACGCTTAAAATTTCTTATTTTCACAAAATAAACCTACTATTTTGTATTGTATTTAAAAAAATACTTTTTATTTCTTCTATTGGCCCCTTTCTAGTAATTTAACAAATGCATCCATCATATTCGAGATTCTGAATGTATCCTATTTCTATCTAGTCCTGAAAAACTAATTCAATAATTTTCTAATACATATAACACATCCAATGCATATTGGATTGTGTCTGACATGTATTGGTTTCTGATACATATCCAATTCAAACATGGCATCAGTGGTTCATAACTCTCAATCTTTGACTCAGGCATAGGTTATTACACCTCACAAGATCAATTCAATCCTCTGATGATTAATATTATTCGTGTCACTGTGCGGTGTATATATTAAAATAAAAGAAGGTTTTTGGCTGTTGTAAAATCAAGTACTGGCCAAATTCTCCTTTTTATGTACTAATGATCAACTGTAAGTGGATTTTAGCTAGTAATAATGGATTTTAACCCCCCCAAAAGAGAAGATATGTTAAATTTACTTCTTGGGGGAAAAATACTTGTTCTTACATTTGCATGCTGCACATTGATAAGAACACATCATGTTCTTCTCAGGGTCCATTGGCATTAAGGATGGCAAAGCGAGCTATTAATGAGGGGCTCGAGGTAGATATGGCATCAGCTTTGGCATTGGAAGAAGAGTGCTACGAACAGCTTTTGAACACAAAAGATCGCTTAGAAGGCTTGGAAGCATTTGCTGAGACGCGAACTCCTAAATATACAGGTGAATGAAAAAGAACATAACCTAATAACTTGCTTCTAGTGCTTTTGGTCCCTTGTGCCTAATATTATCTATTATCATTTATCATTTGAACTTGAGAGGACCCAAATGCTGGCAGGCTCTAATTTATAAGTTAACGAGTTAACAATTTTTGTATCTTTCAATCATGTGGTGAGGATATTTGGGATTTTGGGCATGGACCATGATGTATCATTTGAGAAAGGCTACTTTATATTAGTAAAAGAGCTTCTTTATAGACCTTTCACATTAATGGAGGATTCATTTAGGGGATATATAAATATTGCTAACCAACTTATACTAGATTGTTAGTTTTTAAAGGTTACTTGCATTTTAGCTCTACTGTTTGGAACTGAAAGAGAATAAAGCAATCTGTATTGTCTGATATTATAGTATTGAGAAAAATAAAATAGTTGCAGCCATATGCATACTATTTTATTAAGGATTAGTACTGCCTAATTGTTGTTGCGATTTGGTTCTCTCTCTCTCTCTCTCTCTCTCTCTCCAATTCTGTGCTACTAATAAATGTTTGGTGTTTTTAATTTTTTGAGTTGTATTTTACATCTAATGCCCCAATTTTATTACCACATGCATTTCATTACCTTGTTATCTCATACACTTCGAGCTTCACACAATTAGCAATTTTACCCCTAAATAACATATCATTTTAATTGATGAATGTTCTTAATATATTTTAGTAGTTCTTATTTTGTTTATATGTAATTCAAGTGGTTGCTTCATCTCTTTTTACTTGCTGAAATTGTGGAGCCGGTTGGGGGGGGAGTTGAATTGGACAAACCCTTAAAAACTTTTATCAACTTAAATTACCAATGTTGTTTATTTAGCCAACATCAATACTTGATTCTATCAATCATGTTCACACACAAATCACATAGTGACTAAGAAGTACGGACACGTGGCACGACATGGACATGTTGACACAGGCAATTTTAAAAGCTAATATGTTTTGTAATGAAGCATCATTCAAGTCGACTTTAGTTTCAAGGCTTGATTATAAAGACAGACTCTTCTTCAGTGGAAATGTAAAACTTGTGCATTGTATTAACATCATTTAGAGGTTTTCATCTTGGTAGTTTGTTGGGTTGGGTTTATTTTTGTGTTCTTGACCTTATATAATTTGATTCTAGACTATAGACTAGATTAGCTATTGGGCTCAACTTATAGGACCCATAGACTTGGTTATCTGGGCTTTGTACATCTGCATGGTGTGCTTGTCAGTACACGAACTATCATATTCTATACATGCCACTATCTACCACCAACACCACTATCATATTATATACATGCCACTATCTTATTATATGCATTAACACAAATTTCCAGCACTTTGTTATGTTGATTTTTTGATTGGGAACTACCTCAATCTTGCTGGTTAGGGATTATGCAATTCAGTTTTAACTTACCCTAGATCTTTTATATATTGACTTTTGGCATGCCTATAATTGATGGAGAATTATAGCATCATACCAGCTCAATATTGCATGTTAGTAGGATGTTGCAGCTCATGTATTTATTTATTTTTTTAAACACTACTTATATCCAACCTTCTTTAGCATGAATAATAAGTTTCCAGCAAAGGATTCATGCTTGATCAGATGACCTTATGATGGAATTTTAACCTTCTGCAGGGCAGGTGGGACGCAACGGCTTCCTAGGTTGGTTGGAAGATCGGTGGCGAAAGAACTTATATTTTGTGGTCGGAAAGTTGGTGGCAGAGATGCAGTTTCAATGGGTATGTTTGTTTGGGAGCTGCTCCAATTTTAACTTTTTTTAGTCATCACTGAGCAACAAAGGTGCATTGATGCAGGCCTTATCAATCACTGTGTTCCTGCTGGTGAAGCTCATTTAAAGGCACTTGAAATTGCTCGGAATATCAATCAGAAGGTACAAGTCTGTATGTCTCCAGAATCTTCTAGATACAACTGGGGTGCCATGTGCGATGCATGTGAGCCTTACATCATACAGTTTTTCCCTTTAGGGTTATTTGCAGTTATGTTGATTCTTAAAATTTCCTGGTATCAGCAGTTTTCTTTTACCTGTCAAACTTTGCAAAGTGGCAGTATACATTGCATCCCTTGTAAGACCAAAACTGCTCCCATGTCAAAGTCAATATCAGATAAACCCTGTGTTGGCTTAGTAAGATGAGATTGGATGAGTATATCATGTCTCGAATAATGGTATGGGTTATAATGGTCTCAAAATAAAAAGATAAATACTGTATTTACTGGACCTTTTTGTGATTTTATTTGAATCCCTCACATAGGATGGTTTTTTTTGTCTTGTAAGGATTGTCCTCACAATGTGCTATAATGATGATTCACAAGGTTGTTGCATTCTCTAGTGTGTATTGAAGTGGTTATTATTTATGTGTATTTGTGAAGAAGCATTGATTGGAATCTAAGAAGTACGGACACCGACATAGATGCGGACACGGGACATGACGATTTCAAAAAATTGGGGACACGGACACGGCAATAAAATATATTTTCATATATTTTTATTTGCCATCCAGATTAATATTACATCCACAAACAATCAATATTAACAAAAACTAATTCTAACTTATTTATTTGTTTATTTATTTATTTTTGTAAAAGTACTTTTAAATTAACACTTACAGTTTATATCATTTTTTAGGATGATCTATTAAGTATTTAAATCTAAGAAAAAAATAATAAATATTCAACTTTCAGCATTTATCAAAAGCAGTAATTAAAATGGGGGAAAAGACAATTTGGCATGTCCCTAATGTGTCCTCGAAGTGTTCCTTGAAAATAAATTAATTAAATAAGGGTACACGCCATGTAGTGTGTCCCATACGTGTCCGACACGGATACGACACTTGTTTTGAAGTGTCGGTGCTTCATAGATTGGAGTTCTTGTTCGTTCAAGAAGTCTTCTGTGTGATGCAGGAGTCTTTACTTACCAGAACCATCCATTCTGGGATTAAGATATGGATTCACAACATAAACCTTAACAAAAGTGCTAGTCATTTTTTTTAATGATAGTTGGAAGTTAGACTTGGACATCACATACATGTGTGGTTATACTTACGAAATCAGATTTTCTTTGTCAATCTGTGGTCCATTGCAAATATACAATAGTAGAATATGTCAAGTGTATATTTTATATATTGTATTATACATGATAATCGAAACTTTTTGATAAATTCTTCGAGAATTCTTAGGTGCCTTTTGGCAATATTTACAGTTAATTGTTTTACTTTATAGAAAACACTAAACATGTTTATGTTTGTTTTGGATAAAAATAGAAACAAAAAATATATTTGGTACTCGAGAATTTTAAAATTTTGTTTTGAAAACAAGTGAAAGATGTGTTCGTTGATGGTTGGAGATGGTGGCCGAAGGTGGTTGCCGGCCGCGTAAGGTGGTGGCCGAAGGTGGTTGCCACTAGTGGGAGGTGGTTGGCTGTGTGGTGGTCGGAATGGGTGGGAGAAAGAGGAAGAAATGGGGGAGAAGAAAAGAAAAGTGAAACTAAACTTTTTCGTATTTACAATTTTTTTACAATTCTTTGGAAACGGAAACAGAAACCAAATGAGTTTCTGTTTACAGTTTTCAAAATTTTGTAAATATAAACAGAAAATTGTAAATATAGCATTACCAAAGAGGCCCTTAGTGTTCTACTCAAAATTAGTAGTCTCTGAGCAATGGTCAGTTTTGGTTCAGGGCTTAGTCAAGTTTGACTAGGCTTTGTTTGAGGTTTAAGGCTCAATCACGCCTGAGTGTAAGTTCAATAGGTTTGACTAGAAATTTGATTATATGGGTTTCTGCCTCAGCTTTGATTTAGAAAGAGAGGGAATCGCCCAAGACATGAAAGGTTGTGATGCAGCACCGGTACAGGAGACGGAGAAAAGGAAAAGAACACAATACCAATCAATATATCAGTTAATCAATATTCATGTAAACTCTGCAAAACTCTTACATAAAAGTCATATGTATAGGTAAATCAAACTAATCTTATGAGGAAACAAATACAAACTAAGAAATAAATCCTAAACTTAAAAAAAAAAAAAAACAACAACAACGCACAATTAGTACACGTTAATGTGTGTTTGGGAGGGGAAAGATTGAGTACACACCTAACCTTTGGCATAATGTACAAAGTTTTAACTTCCTAAATAAATTAAACTCCTAAATAAATAAAATTCCAAATCTTCAATATTTTCTTATTCAATTTGTTTGCTTACCCCAACAGGTGGTTGGTCAATCAACCTTTATATACGCTTAAAATTTCTTATTTTCACAAAATAAACCTACTATTTTGTGTTGTATTTAAAAAAAATACTTTTTATTTCTTCTATTGGCCCCTTTCTAGTAATTTAACAAATGCATCCATCATATTCGAGATTCTGAATGTATCCTATTTCTATCTAGTCCTGAAAAACTAATTCAATAATTTTCTAATACATATTGGTTTCTGATACATATCCAATTCAAACATGGCATCAGTGGTTCATAACTCTCAATCTTTGACTCAGGCATAGGTTATTACACCTCACAAGATCAATTCAGTCCTCTGATGATTAATATTATTCGTGTCACTGTGCGGTGTATATATTAAAATAAAAGAAGATTTTTGGCTGTTGTAAAATCAAGTACTGTCCAAATTCTCCTTTTTATGTACTAATGATCAACTGTAAGTGGATTTCAGCTAGTAATAATGGATTTTAACCCCCCCAAAAGAGAAGATATGTTAAATTTACTTCTTGGGGGAAAAATACTTGTTCTTACATTTGCATGCTGCACATTGATAAGAACACATCATGTTCTTCTCACGGTCCATTGGCATTAAGGATGGCAAAGCGAGCTATTAATGAGGGGCTCGAGGTAGATATGGCATCAGCTTTGGCATTGGAAGAAGAGTGCTACGAACAGCTTTTGAACACAAAAGATCGCTTAGAAGGCTTGGAAGCATTTGCTGAGAAGCGAACTCCTAAATATACAGGTGAATGAAAAAGAACATAACCTAATAACTTGCTTCTAGTGCTTTTGGTCCCTTGTGCCTAATATTATCTATTATCATTTATCATTTGAACTTGAGAGGACCCAAATGCTGGCAGGCTCTAATTTATAAGTTAACGAGTTAACAATTTTTATATCTTTCAATCATGTGGTGAGGATATTTGGGATTTTGGACATGTACCATGATGTATCATTTGAGAAAGGCTACTTTATATTAGTAAAAGAGCTTCTTTATAGACCTTTCACATTAATGGAGGATTCATTTAGGGGATATATAAATATTGCTAACCAACTTATACTAGATTGTTAGTTTTTAAAGGTTACTTGCATTTTAGCTCTACTGTTTGGAACTGAAAGAGAATAAAACAATCTGTATTGTCTGATATTATAGTATTGAGAAAAATAAAATAGTTGCAGCCATATGCATACTATTTTATTAAGGATTAGTACAGCCTAATCGTTGTTGCAATTTGGTTCTCTCTCTCTCTCTCTCTCTCCAATTCTGTGCTACTAATAAATGTTTTGTGTTTTTAATTTTTTGAGTTGTATTTTACATCTAATGCCCCAATTTTATTACCACATGCATTTCATTACCTTGTTATCTCATACACTTTGAGCTTCACACAATTCGCAATTTTACCCCTAAATAACATATCATTTTAATAGATGAATGTTCTTAATATATTTTAGTAGTTCTTATTTTGTTTATATGTAATTCAAGTGGTTGCTTCATCTCTTTTTACTTGCTGAAATTGTGGAGCCGGTTGGGGGGGGAGTTGAATTGGACAAACCCTTAAAAACTTTTATCAACTTAAATTACCAATGTTGTTTATTTAGCCAACATCAATACTTGATTCTATCAATCATGTTCACACACAAATCACATAGTGACTAAGAAGTACGGACACGTGGCACGACATGGACATGTTGACACAGGCAATTTTAAAAGCTAATATGTTTTGTAATGAAGCATCATTCAAGTCGACTTTAGTTTCAAGGCTTGATTATAAAGACAGACTCTTCTTCAGTGGAAATGTAAAACTTGTGCATTGTATTAACATCATTTAGAGGTTTTCATCTTGGTAGTTTGTTGGGTTGGGTTTATTTTTGTGTTCTTGACCTTATATAATTTGATTCTAGACTATAGACTAGATTAGCTATTGGGCTCAACTTATAGGACCCATAGACTTGGTTATCTGGGCTTTGTACATCTGCATGGTGTGCTTGTCAGTACACGAAAAATCATGTGTGTGTTTGAATGCTTGAGTACTGGTCGAACGAGAACATTGTAAAGTGTCATTGGTTTGGTCCACAACGTTGATTGTTTGAACACATTAGATGCTTACACTGAGCCAACTGGAATTGATTTTATTCTAATGAAGTACCATGTCCGTTTGAACACAGATCATGTTCATTTGATTGGTGGCCCTTCTATTTTGTAATACACAGATTTCTATTTAACAATAGAAGCTTCTTCGTTTGAACAGTGCATACCGTTCGAACGCATGTTACCTGATACATCTTGTTTTGCATGTTTGGAGCTGATTTCTTCAGAAATTTTGACTCCTTGGTCACTTAGGATTTCTCATTACTATATATTGAGATATATACATCTGTGTTTAGGTTACACTCGAGAAATAGTTTTCCTAAGAGAGCCCTGATATAGTCTATCTTCACTTCTTTCATAGGTTTGAGACACAGTTTGCATAGGTTGGATTGATCTTTCTGGTTCTAAATCTTGTGAGTGAAGAGTGTTTAATTGATTCCTTTGGTAGCTCTGCAATCATCTGGATTTAGTGCATGTTCATTGATCGAGCTTGTGGACTTGGAAGATTGTGTTTGTGTGGCTTGCATGGTTGGCGAAGATTTGAAGGTACAAGTGAGTCTTGGAGATGTGGGTGAAGCTTGGGTAACCAGCTTGGGGAATGATAGAATATCACCCCCTATTTATAAATGAAGATTTAGGGTTTACAAGAAAGGCAATTACAAGATGATCCCTGAGTGCTATCCCTGAGTGCATAAAATGATTACAGACAGACCCTAGTGTACCTTTCGGCTAATATAATATGCTAACATTGCTCCCACTTGTGTGAGCTTTGAAATTTTTTTTTTGCTCTCCGGCACAAACACTAGTGCAGTACTTTATTACTTGATCAAATTATTCATATATTTGATTAGTGTTGGACAATCTTTTTGTTTTTGTTTTTGTTTTTGTTTTTGTTTTCTCGAAGGAAAAAACAACGGACACATCCAACCCAATAAAATCTACTGTGGAATCAAAAGTTATGAGACTCTCAATGAAATGAATTACAACCCTTTACTCGGTTTTGAGTCTCCTGTAATTGTAAAGCTTCTCACTTGTTCTCCACTGCATGTGGCTCTGATCCTCTTAGATGCTTTTGATTCAACAGTAATCCACATAGCTTATTGTTCCTATCTCCGTTCAACACAGATGGCCAATGGTTGAGTATGTCATGCCAAAGTGTGGATTTTATGAAAAATAACTCTATCTAGAACATAATAAAGTGTAAAACCTTGTGTGCTCTTGTTCCTAGATTGAAAGAAACATGGGTTTCTAGCATTATGCTTTTTTGAAGCTGAATAAGGTTGCTCTCTAACTCAAAAGGCTGCTAGGGTCATTTATGATGGTTTATATGAGTTTTGGAGAATAGAAACATGAACTAGGTAAAGTTCTGCGTGTGGAGCTTGTAGTATCTCTGCAGGCTATAGGACATTTGAGCAGGCTTTCGAGAGCTCTTTCAGGTGGAGCTCTCAAGACCACTGCAGGCCATCCCTCAGTCAGGCAGCCCTTCAAGCACACGTTACAAAATATTTGCCGTTTTGCATACAGTGCGCTCAAACGAATTTGATGTGCGCTCAAGCAGTTTTTTTTTATTTTTTATTTTACATATATTTTGAAAACCAAATTTTCATAAATCTGAAACAAGAAATTTGAACTTTAAACTAGGTCAATCTTGTGCTTTTTCAAAATCGTGATGCAAGTGCTCTACCTTCAAGTGTAATGGGACGAAATCTTACACAAACCACGAATCAAATCTCAAATAGCTCTTCACAATTCTTAACCTGACCTAGCTACCCTTACAACCATGCACAAATTGCAATACATTGACCCAACAGTTTTGTCTCACGGAAATTGCTAACTTAACCTAGATCCTATTACACTTGCAAGATGCACTTGTCTATCCTTTCGCAGTATTTAAATTTATTGGCTGTTGTCTGAAAATATAGAAAGGAGCTTTTCTTTGTATATGACTATATGTTTTGTATTTTGGTCCTTTCTTGTTTAGTGTCTCATCTCTAATACAACCAGTCCCCAAACCTGAAGAAAGTAGGGCTACTACAGGTGGACAACCATTAAAAAAGACAATCATAGCATATGAGCATCTAGAAGTTGGAATTTAGGCTTTTCAAGTTGAGTTGGTCACAAATAGAGCCATTGATTTGGTTTGCTTATCATCAGCAAGGGTTTATTACTTATTTCAAATCTTGGAAAGACAAAATTGGTGATGTATTAGATGGCCATGCATAGATGCAATGCAAGTATGTTAAGAAGCACGGATACGGACACGTGACACAACACGGACATGCAGATACATAAATTTTCAAATAATGCAGGGCACGACAATTTGGGGACACATTCAAAACATATATTTTTATTATACGTATATTTTTAAATATTTAATATGTATTTTATGTCAAATATTTAATTTTGTCAAATTTATCAACCTTAGGTATGCTATTTTAGTAAAAAAATTAAAAACTTTAATTTTTTATTTTTGAAACAAATTGTACTTAGCGTGTCCTTAGAGAGTCCTCAGCGTGTCCCTAGCGACGTGTCCCTAGCATTTCTCAACATGTCTGAAGTGTCCCAGCATGTTCGACTCTTTCCAACTTGTCCGACACATGTCCGAAGTGTGTTCGTGTCCGACACGTGTCGAACACCTGTACGTGACCTCCAGATAGGTGTCCATACTTCATAGCAAGTATGTATCATGAATAAGTTTGAAGTAAAAAGTGATGATGGGCCACAAATGCACCTTCAAATAATTTAAGATTAGGTATGTGAAGGTTAAAGCACGAAAATACATGCCAAAGGGAAAGAAGCAGGCACTAGTTTGATATTGTAAGCTCTTAAAATCTTGTTTATCAATTTATCTTAGTGAAAAGCTGTATGAAGAATGTAACAACCTCCCTTTTTGTCAATGCTTAGCAAATAACCTCTCTTTTACAGTAGCTGGCAGTGACAACTTGAATTTGATATTGGCATTGAAAGAAAAAGTTCATATGATTTTATAATGTAAACATGAATGAAGAAGAAAAATCCATTCTATCCAAATGTAAACTAATGCTTGTTTAATAATTCAAAACTAGACAATTAAAATAATAAAATATATATCCTGACTTGTAAAGGCATCCGCTAATGAGCTTATTATCCGGTTAATATTTTGAAACGTAATTAGCTCTATTCAGTGCCTCATACAAGGATGGAAAGAGAAAAGACAAAGGTCCTCGAATAGGTTAATTTTCTTTAAAAATTTAGTAACCCAGTTTAGTAGATTTTTAACTGTTGCTGGTATCTAAGAAGTACGGATATCTCTAAGAAGGTGATGTGTCTGTGTAGGACATCAACACTCTTCAGACACTTGTTCAATACTCTTTTTTCATGTGTTCATCATTAAAAAAAAAATCTTAATTTTGGATACATGTCCAACACTCAAATTTTGCAATGTGTTTGTCACTTGCCCATGTCTATCATTAAAAAATAAATATAAGACCAACACCTTTTAGACATTTGCTAACAAATGTAGGGGTGAGCATGGTCCGGATTGGACCGGATTGGGATAAAACCAATATTTTGAAACGTAATTAGCTCTATTCAGTGCCTCATACAAGGATGGAAAGAGAAAAGACAAAGGTCCTCGAATAGGTTAATTTTCTTTAAAAATTTAGTAACCCAGTTTAGTAGATTTTTAACTGTTGCTGGTATCTAAGAAGTACAGATATCTCTAAGAAGGTGATGTGTCTGTGTCGGACATCAACACTCTTCAGACACTTGTTCAATACTCTTTTTTATGTGTTCATCATTAAAAAAAAAATCTTAATTTTGGATACATGTCCAACACTCAAATTTTGCAATGTGTTTGTCACTTGCCCATGTCTATCATTAAAAAATAAATATAAGACCAACACCTTTTAGACATTTGCTAACAAATGATTTTTGAAGTTTGAGAATTTGACATAAATATATCTTA